AGTAAAGAAAGTAAAATATTATTTTAAAGTTTTTTTATTCAATATTAGTATAATATGTCAATCAATTTTATAACCTTAAAAATAACAATAAAATGAAATTAAATTTATTTACAAATTAATTTCCCCGATATGAAACCTGTCAAATATTTCAACTCGTTACTCAGCAGCGCTGTTTTGGTGGCAGAAAAAGTGGTGGAAGCCCTCATTGAATGGAAATATATCCAGCCCGGTCTTATTTTTAAATCGTAGGGTTACGTCCGTCAAAAAATACCTGTTTAGAAATAGTGTAATTATAATTGTTTCAAATTTGAATAAAGCTCGATTCCCCGCTACTGTTTAAAAGTCACTATCTCCAACATTAAAAACACACGTTTAAGTCCGACAACGTTATTATAACAGCAATGCAACAGCGTTTAATTTGGGAAAAGAAAGTACAAATTTTACTTCTCCTTTAACCGATAAACATTCAAAACAACTTACCTTATAATATACATGATAGGTATAAAAGTTTTTACATAGGCTATTCAATTTTAATTTAGGTATATTAAAAATATTTAAAATAAGATTGATAGTGAAACCTATCTTGATTTAAAAAACTATCCTGATAAAAAATTATCGCTTTTTATTATATATGTGATATACGTGAAGAGCCATGTTGCAATTGTATTACGGTTGTAGCACGTATGGGTCGGCTCGACCGGGAAAGGACCATGCTCTCACAGAATACCAGCGTAAAATAGCAGTTTAACGTTGCTGTGTTTCGTATGGTGAGTGTAGAGATCCGGAGACCATTTTTTACTGGAAACGAGGCATTCCATCTTAGTCCTCAGGGGTAACAATGTATCTGCATTTTGATTCTAAATTATAAATCGAGGATAGATTTAGATGTCAACGGGTCACAGTATCCACTCACCATCAGGTGGTCTATATGCTCATTTATCACCCTTAATCTATAAAAAAATCATATTTCTGTGCGAATGACTTATTTGCAGATGTTTATCTGTGTTATTATCATCATACAAATTCCGAATTGAAATTCCAAATTAAACTTGTTATTTTCATGTCAATCATCAATATCAAGTTATTATCTATTGACCTTTTGTTAATTAAACTGACGTTTTACATTGATTGAACCACTTGATTTATGCGTTAATATTTTCTCGACTGGTGATATTGCTTTCTTCTCACATTGGCGAAACGAGACGTGGCGGTTACCAGACGCAGTTTTATCGATTACTTCTATTTTTAGAATCAATAAGTTTGATCAACAAACAAGTTGTATTTACCATTGCAAATAAAACATCTTATAGTAATTGATGTACATGGTGTAATATTTTATAAAAGTAAATGAAGTCTACCATGCATTTTAAGCGAGAATCAGCGGACGTTAATGATTTCCGACGTTAATTTCTAAGAAATACTGCTTTCTTTACAATATTCTTCTTCATTCCAAAGCACTTACTGGCCGCTTTTAAAATACCTAAGCCATTTAACTATTTTTTAATATAGCACGTTTTTTTAAATATTATATTCTTATATTGTTATCGGATTCTGAGCCATGTTCAAAATTTCAAGTCTGTCTTCAACTCATCGGGAACTAAGCTATATTTATTCGATATATTTTATCCTGGCATTGCTCTCTATCCTTACATAGTTTCATTACATTCAGTTCAGCTATTTCGAACATTAGCCAAGACTGATAGATATTTTTTTTTAAATATGGTTGTTTATATTATAGCATGATAATAACCCGTTGAGCTTTATCCAGCTATTTAAGCATTACACACAAATACGTTAACGTGTAGAAATCATACTATGAGTATGTTGTTAAGGTTGGCATTCAGCACAATTCTGCGCACAAGTTAAAACATTAACATCCTTTGGAAGACAAAAGATTGTTTCCCTCCCTACCGGATGTCTTTCGATTTAGTATACAATCCTCAGCAAGGTGGAGACAACAATGAATGACTAATTTTGTATTCCGCTCGTGGACGCACCTTCCTATAGGTGGCAGGTAGGTAGGTAGGGTTATACTTATACCACGTGGTAGAGCCACACTGGAGTTATATTATAGTTGTAGTACGAATGTTTCGGTTCGACCGGGGAGGGCCGTGCTCTCACAGAATACCAGCGTAAAATAGCTTACTAACCCGAGACCCTTTTTACAGGAAACGGAACATTTAATCTTAGTGTGCTCAGGGGTGACAACTCATCTGCATTTTGATTCTGTGAATTTCTATGGGTTACAGAAACCACTTACCATCAGGTGGACTGTGTGCTCGTTTGTCAACCTTATCCTATAAAAAATAATACCACAATAAAATAATTACCCTTACAACAGTACATTTTATAACGAAGGAATAATAATTTATTCCTACATTCGTTGTCAGTACTTTGTACCCTTATTTCCTCCCCCAAACATATCGTTGAAGGGGATAGATTGTCGGTTATCGGGGATCTATTTCGGCGACAAAATGGCGCAGTTTATTTTACTATTCATACGAAGCGACGCGCCATTTTGAACATAAAGATAAATTATAGGTGCCTAGCCAGAAACGAGAAAGCCAATATACGACGTCTGTTCTTTTTTTTTTGCTACAATATGCATCGTTGCAACTGCACGCGCTAGGCTTGCAATAAGCCTAATTTACTCTATACTTACCTACTCCATAAATATTCTATTTTGCATCATTTTTTTATACAGTATAGTTCTTATCTTTGTATAAAACTAACTTAAATTTTTTAATTATTTTTATGGATTACAACACGTTTAATCTACTAATTTTTAATTCCTAACTTTTCGGGAACTTTACAGCACCCGTGGTTACGGCGACTGAGATTATACCGATGCGATGTCATAGTTCGCTCGGCTACCTTCACTCTTTGAATATTAATTTTTAGTCCGATCTCCGCAGAACGAGCTTACAATATCTTAAAGTCTTGCTTACAGTTTCTTGAAGTATGCTTGGGTTTGGATTTAATTTTGTTAATTATAGAATCTCTAGCAGACGATCCATCTTTTCTATTGAAATTAGGTTGTTTTTTAATTTCAATAGCCATATAGTCGGTGTTCTTTTGCGAGGATTTGTAGTGTATCTGATGTAATGGAATGGCGGGGACGATCTTGAACATGTTCACAGACTGCAGAATTTCCGGAGCATCGGTGCTTTACGCTGATTTTATCGTTTAGTTTTTTACAAATGCGAAATTAAATTAATAATCGATTTCATTTGGATTGTTTACAAAATTATAACAGTTTATAATAAGAAATAATTTTAAATGAAATGCTTGTGGGGGTCAGTATTCTTGGATTTACAATTGCATTGATACAAACAAAAAAAATTAGGTATAGTTTTTTGTAGTTCATTATAAAATATTATGCGGTTTAAAATACAAGATGTTGTTACATTAAAAAAGGGGTATATAATTAACAATAATGATACATATCATTTTTATGTGTTATATACATTGAGTTATACAACACTATGTGTAATATATAAATCAATGGTTAAATATATAGAACATACCCAAAAATCAACCTCACTATAATTATTTGTAGTATTGGTAACTCCCTCATCAGCTCATCACTAAAAGTTTAAAAACCATTGAGTCAAAAGTAAAAAGGTTACCATATTATTCCAATTCGGTTATTTTTAAAAATAATCTAATGACATCTGATATTCTATATTCGAATGACAGAAATTGTATATCTCTATTCAATCTCCAGTCTTTATTCATATTTATTAATATAATGAACTTTCCTTTGAACAAAATGTTTTTTGTCCAATAAATATTTAAAAAAAATGTCAACAATACTTCCATCCTCCAATGATTATTTATTGAAAGAACTCTTTGTTCCTGGTACAAGAACATGTTTACGCATCAGAACGTTTCATCGAGCAATCAGTAAAAGCATGAGTCAAAAGTTGCCTTTGTGTGAAAGTGAACAAAGTCGTTAGATAACGCAGAAGGGCATGCTGACAGATAAAAAACGCGTTACTGACAGACTGCTTTCTAGAATATTTTGTGAGTCGTTCCTTTAAAAAAAAAAAATAAGTTGCAGCCTATGTAAGCGCTTTCTATAATTCAAGCATTCTTAGTGCGAGTGGACGTAATTAACATGGCCTAGAAATATTTACAATTAAGTACTTAGACATGGCAAGCTTTCTTACGATGTTTTTTTTATTTTATCTCCAAGCACGTTGCAATTAATAATTTCATTGATACCGATGTTGAAATCGATCTTTAGTTGTTGCTCTTTAACCTACTTCTATCATCTGCATCTACACTCCACGCTAATTATAAATATATCAATATCGGAGTTTTATATATAAGTTTTTAGTTTTTATTTATCGATATATCAATAATCCAATATTTTAAAAAATATCAACAGTTTTAGTTTGAACAGTTGGAATGATCAGTTAAACTGACCGTGTGTGGCGACCATAGGACGACTTAATAGTAATTGTTATCTTAACCATTTTAAATCTGCTCAAAGAGTCGAAAATTAAACTTTTAATAAAACGTAAAGGCCGACTTTAGAAAACTAATAAGAATAAAATAATTTCCACATAATAGTTTCAGAGGTAGGTGATAAGATAAGATAAGATAATAGCTTCTGTCAAGCTATTATGTTAAAATTATTTTAATATTTTGAAGTAGATTTTTACTTTTAAATCTTACATTCTAATGGATGATTATTTTCAAACGCCTTAAAGAAAGGAGGTGGTTCTCAATTCAACTGTATTTTTTTATGTGTGTTACCTCAGAAATTTTGTAGTGAACTGATTTTGATGATTCTTTTTTATTTGAAAACTGGTGCTTTTCATGTGGTTCCGTATAAATTTGATCAAGATCTGACCAGTAGTTTTTGAATTACCCTTAATAATGCGTATTTAATTCACTTCGACTACATAAATGATGTTCTTAATTTATTCATATTGAAGTCGGTTGTACAAAAATTTTAATTTTAGCACTTGTTTGTTACAGAAACCTAAAAAATGGCCTGCTCCGTGAGTGATGCCCCCTCCCTGAAGGACCTCCCAAAGGTTGCCACTGACCTCAAGAGCCAGCTTGAAGGTTTCAACACCAGCTGTCTTCGCGACGTTGACACTAACGAAAAAATTGTGCTTCCATCAGCTGAAGGTAATAAATACTAATATCAAAACATTGTCGTCCCCCCATAAAATAGTGTAAGTACACAAAAATTAAAAGCCAAGTATTTAATTTTAAAAATTTACAATATATAAGAAAAAACAAGTACTTATAGCGTTACCTATTTATTATATGAATAGGTACGCTATGAATTTCCATTACAGCTTATAAAAGTCCACTGCTGAACATAGGTGTCCCCCATGCTTAGGGGTGGGGTGTATGGGATTTCGCTATAGTCCACGCTAGAAATTATAATTGATTGTTTTTCTTTAATTTATAAAAGGCTTACGAGCATGTGGCTTACCTGAAGGTAAGTGACTACCGCCGCCCATGAACAAGGGGTTGGAAGGTTTCAGTCTGAAGACAATAGAAATTCAGTATAATTGTAGATTTTGTAGCAATCCATCTTAACTTTATTAAAACATCTGTTGCCTTCTTGGTTTAAAATCGTTTGCACGTAATCAATAGTCGATTCGCTTTTTACTGGAAACGAGGCATTCCATTTTCAAGACAATGAGACTGACGGCCGAGTAACGACCTACCCAAATATGTCGTACCAGTAACCCACAGTTTAGCCAGTTTTGTAATTAAGGCAATTATTTCAAGACCTGATACTTATGACTGTAATTTGAAAAGGCCTATAACCAACAGTGAATTTAAAAATGTGCATTACTGTAATATAAACTAAAAATGTATAAATAATAAAAACTAGCGATCCGCCGCGGCTTCGCACGGGTGATATTTGGATCTCGACAACAGCGCCATCTACTGGCCAAATGTCCAATTTAAACCATGTAGGAACAGAAAAATTGGTCGAGCCCGATTGTTGAATTTTAGCGAATTTAACGGACAGCAATAGATTTTTATATATAGATATTATTTTCTACAAAAGTATTGTTCAAAAACGCGACTTAAAAGCTTAGTTACACAGCTAAATTAATTTATTCTCATAACAGACATTGCGCAAGAGAAACAGCACTTAGCACTTCTTGAAGACCTAGAGAAATTTCAACCTACCCTTTTAAAGAAGACCGACACTGTCGAAAAAAATGTTCTTCCAAATGCATTGGGTATTTTGTGTGCGCCAACGGCGAAACTAACGGACTAAACTAAGATTTAGATTGTCGTGCGTTACAAATCACAGATTGCGACACGCTTCACTTTATAACAAGCATTTAAAAAAAATATAATGCAAAAATCCTCGTATCCATATTAGTGACATTTTAGTCCAGTTTTATTCTTAAAAACTAACGCAAATCATTACAATAAAATTCATCATTTATAAGCATTTTATTCCATATTTGAAAAAAGTTTTTGATTACATTGCAAGACATTTCAAACTAAACATTGAAATAAAAATTTCATATTCCATCGAATTTTTAATAAAAAGCATGAATTGTGTGTATGTCTATATAACACTAATAAACAAAATCTATTTTCTAATGATAGTTTTGTAATTAAATATGTACTGTACACAAAAAAGTTGTTCTGGCAGTTGAAAAGCTGGTCATAATGGTCGCCACACACTGTCAGTTCAACTGATGACTCCAACTGACCAAGTCAAACTTTTAGTTTGTTGATATTTTTTAAAATAGTGGATTTTCGATATATCGATCATTATAAATATATTAATATCGGAGTTTTACATTTAGGTTTATTTATCGATATATCGAAAATCCGGTAGGCGTAGTGTAGGGCGACCCCCCACTAGATGGAGTGACGACCTGGTAAGATGCAAGAAGTCGATTGATGCAGGTGGCTCAGGACCATGCTTTGTGGCATTCCTTGGGGGAGGTCTATGTTCAGCAGTGAACTTGTGAAGGGCTGTAATGATGATTTTCCCCATTTGTATCTTTTCTATGGTCATTATTGTGTGAAGTGCAACCTGCGTTAGCACTAACTTATATGTCTTAGTAGCATAGATAAGCTAATATTATAATCGGGAGGTAAATAGTATTTAAATTCCGTGGTTAAGTATGATGTCGATATCGAAATCTAGTTACAACCTTTGATTTAAGACAGACAATATCCCTTGATAATGATAACTCGTTTTCACCCGTTTAAACAACCTATTTTATTTTATCAAACTCCTAAAAGACTTCCGTATAATATGCAACTTATCTTCTAGTATCTTATATAATAATTTTTTCATTATATAAGATACTGTATTTTAATAATACCAGTACTTATCTCGTCGCCTCCATTTTCTGTCAAAAATTTGTGATTCATCTCCTTTCTCCTTGAAAAGAATTGATAAGTAATAATATTATTTTCTATGTTTCACAGATGTTGCCGCTGAAAAAACTCAAAAGTCCTTATTTGACGGCATTGAAAAGTTTGACGCCAGCAGACTGAAACACACTGAAACACAGGAAAAGAACCCCCTCCCAGATAAAGATGGTATGATTACATTAAAATCTACGCATCGCATGAACGCGTTATTTCGAATATTGCATCTATATTTGCCTATTTTCCACACATTTGCACCATAATATCTTTTTGCAATATTTCAAAGGTTAAAGTTAAACATTAGCATTTGTCTTCATAATTTTTTTTTGCCTTTTTATTGCAATAAATTGTATTTTTTCTATTTCTGTATTACTTTAATGACCTCTATTTTTATTAGCATGTATATTTGAAAGCGATTTTGATGTGCTTATATTTTTTCGTTCTAAATGACTCGCAATTTCACATGATCGTAGCAAGGGTGGCCCCTGTACCAATACCTCTGATATTATTACAGAAATTCTGCTTTATTGATCGTAAATAAATATGTATAATATATTCGTCGGTGCGTCTGTTAGTGGTAAGTTACATGAACTTCTTAATCACTTCACCGATGTAAGTCATAGGTCGTATAACGACACAATTCAATTCCCTATATAATATTGTAGTCTTTGATTCAATTGTTTTGTCGATGGTTCAACGCAATACTGGGATCCGATAGGTGGCGCTGTCAATTTATTAACAAATTCTATATTTATAAACCAAAATGACTCATATTCCCAATCACACCAAAATAGAATAAAATTTAGACCCAATAGGTAATCCTGTGGTTAATGGTAGTTCTTATATTTTGGACTCTAAAAATCCGGAGTGAAATTGAAGTAAAACTCATAGTGTCACCTACGGAAAGAGCACTTAGTTAAAAGGTTTTTTTAGGACGTCGCAGCCCTTAAATATGCTTTACATAGGGTGACAAAGCGGAAGAGAAAAACTTGTTGTTGTGTTGGATAATCCTCCTAAGCTAAGGTTTAGCTTTTTTTGGTTGTAGTACGACCGGGTCGGCTTGACGCAGTCGTGATACAACCAAAAATCACTCACAGAATATCAGCTTAAAATAGCAACTCAACACTACTGTGTTTCGTATGGTGAGTATAGAGAACCGAAAACCCTTTTTATTGGAAACGAGGCATTCCATCTTAGTCATCAGGTATAAACACACGTAACAACGCATCTGCACTTTGAATCTTAATTGAGGATAATATATTTATGGACTACAGCATCCACTTACCATCAGGTGAACTGTGCGCTCGTTTGTCGCTCTTATTCTATTAAAAAAACACTCTCAAATTCTACGCCTATCTCTTTCCATCTAATAAAGATCAAAGAGTAATATAATCTATACGTTTTAATAGTGATGTGCAGAAATTTTATTTTCATTTTATTTCATATACATATTAATTTCATTTTCGGCCTACCCTTGCTACGTATACACATATATTTAACAAGCTTTATATACCTATTATATTATTTTGCCCTGCACGATTTTGCTTATGCCAGTTGTCGCAGCGGAGAAAGCGCATCAAAACCTCCTGGAAGGTGTTGAACATTTCGACAAGACCCAAATGAAGCACACAACGACCGAAGAAAAGAATCCGTTGCCGCCCATAGAAGGTTTTTGTTTATGCTTTGTTTCTGCTTTATGCAATTTGCGCATTATCTTATCTTAGCTTTAAATATAACTGTATAAACGATAAAATAACTGTGTTGAAATAGATAATACAAAGTTCGTGATTAATGGATAAATTACTTACTCTCTATCCTCGAAATATTTATAGGGATAAATTACTACCATTCAACGCATCTACATTTTCATTCCTAATAGAGATATGTCGTAAGATAAAATTCAATTCCGCGATAAACATTACAACATTGAAACTTAATTTAGAAAACGGTAGATAATTCGCTCGTTTTTAAAATTGAAGAACTCGAAGCCAGTACTGTTACGCAACAGATATGAACACTGGAGACTATTATATGGTTCTCAGTTGTTTTTTTATATACCGTAGATGTCGTAAAAGGCGACAGACGAAAAGAAATCAGAAGATTGATAGCAGCATCTTTCTAATAACTAAAAAAAAATACAAATCTGCGGTTGCCAATCTGACTGCTGAGCGTGGCAACTATGGCAAATATGTATCAGTGGACTCTTGATATACTGTAAACTTAACCATTTCGTATATGTATTAAGCTAGATGTAAAATATCTAGATCGGCGGAGGGATGAAGTTAACAGTGTTCACTTACGAAATACCAATCGTGATGATGTTCTTTCGAATCGTGCAATCGTTATATCTACAAACGTGCACGATTATGAGTGTATTGTTGCAGATGGGTGAAAACTTAGATAAAGACAAAGAGTTCATTATGGCAATCTATAGTTTTATATATAGTTCAAATCGTTCTTTTGGATCGACTAATCGACGAATCTAGCTAGCATGGAGTTGAATAACTACTAAAAAACTTAGACAGATCACAGAACATTATTATCTCTGCCGACAGAGCTATGATTACTTAAACAATACCTACCCTAACCGTAATTATTCATAGTTGAAAAATCAAAAATATATAAACAAAACATATAAATATGTATTTAATTATTTGATTTTATGTTTCAAATAAACACTATATACACTAACGTCTAATTATTTTAACAGCTATCGAAGCGGAAAAGGAAAAGAACAAATTCCTGAACGGTATTGAGAACTTCGACCCCACCAAGTTGAAGCACACCGAGACCTGTGAAAAGAACCCCCTACCAACAAAGGACATTATCGAGCAAGAAAAGACTGCTTGAAATGCACATTTAAATAATCAACCGCAATTATATCTCGCTAGTATCGCCGTATTTTAGTAACACTATAAGTTTTTGTAAGTAACAGGCCAGTTTGCGTCGTCCGTTTGATTTTACGATTCTTTAAATATTGAATGATAAAAGTTTTTGAACGTACTTTACACACTCGCCTTTAAAAAAATAACGATATGTATCTTGAAAATGTTTACATTTTATGTTAGTACTGGTAAAGGACTATAATGTCTTTTTAATGTCGTTGCCTGTGCTTCAAATATCTACAATATTAAATTTCCTTAGTCTACGGGATATCTTGAAACGGGCTTCGTGAACTGGTCATTATCATTAGTATATAGGAACCAAATTTTCTATGTCACTTTTAACATGATATGATATATAATAAGTGTATTTTATGAGCATTTTATTTAATTTATATCGAGGTAATTATTATTAAGATTCAGTACTGATTTTACATTAAGTTGGAGACACACTGCACTCCAAATTAATTTATAACATTTATTTATGTAAAAAACCTTGTTTTTGTGTGCTTGTGTTCTCCATATTTTAGTTGAGATATAATTAGATGACTGAGAGAATCGTGCATCGAATTCGTAACGTTTCAGATCTACAAAATTAGGAGTGTAGTTACCAAGTACTAGAGTTGAAATTTTTAGAACATTTCTGTTCTGCATTATACCGTAACGCTGTTTAAAATACCGAAAAGGTTGTTTAGAATGGTGGCCGAAATTGTGTACTGGAACGCTAAGACTATGTACTATTAAATAATAAAGCAATATGTTTTTCTTATGATACGAACAATCATTTTTATACTCATATATTGCATTGTGTATAACAAGCAACAATCCCTTGTTCAATATTTCAATATGCTAATGATGCCAATAAAATCTACATTTTATCGACATTTTGTATGTTTTACAGACGGTGCTTTTTATAAATATAAAATGGAAAAAATTGTGTTTTTATTTTCTTAATACTTTTGTTATCTTCTGATTCCTGAAATTATTACAACAAAAATGGATCTCATCAGATCTCACGTATTTATTCTTAAAACCTTAGAGTATAAAATAAGCAAAACTCCTAAGCATAAAACACTTACATAATTAAAAGTTTAAATATATATATTACTTGTTCATTCCAAGATTGCCGTTACCTCCCGCCGCGCTTCCTCACTCCGCGGTCCGCGCCCAAAGCGTCGCCCTATTAATACCGATAGCAGCGGCTTCCTTATGTTTTACGTATTTGAATTGATATAAGAGAGGCATGGGCCAGTGAGCCGTCTTCCCTGTGCAGAGATGGTAGAGATGACTGACAGAAGTTCCCTTGGACAGCCTTGGCGAGAGACCAGAACGCATGGGTTTCCGAAGGAAGGCGAACTAGCTTCTCGCCAATTCTGCCGATGTGCTCAGACCTTGCCTTGACAATGACTCATAATTTGGACTAAACTGGAATTATACTTCTTTTTAAGAGCGCTGGTGCTTACATCTCGAGACGTTGATGCGTCAGCCCAGACCCGGTAGCACTCCTGCTTATAGCGTGATGCTATTTTACAGAAGCGACCAAACCATGGCTGGGATCTGCCTCTGATGGGCACCACAGAGGAGGGAATAAAAAGTTCCATACCCTGAAGTACCACATCAGCGACAGAATCAACAACAACGCTAGGATCGTCCGTTGAGAAGCAAATCCACTCCCAAGGGTAAGATGCAAAAAAACACCGCATCCCATCCCAATCGGCCGACCTATAGTGCCAGACACGGCGGCAGCCTGCAGAATGCAAACGCGACGTTAGTGTGACTGGCACTACACTGCGGACAAGACAATGGTCCGACGAGCCTAAAGGGGCGTCGATGGAAACCTAATATCCATTCGGATGAGAGGTCAGCAGAAGGTCCAACAGGGAAGGTGTATGATCTTCCTCATCTGGAATCCACGTAAGTGTAGTAACCAGTTGTCAGACCATATGCCTAAGCAAAGTCATAAACATATTTCCCCGCATGATCGGTTAGACGTGAACCGAGCCATTCGGCGTGGTGGGCGTTAAAATCGATAAGGAACACGATTTCTGCGGATGGGATCTGCTGTAGCACGGAATCTGTAGCCATTTGGACGTGGTCAAGGAGTCGGTCTGTTTCGGTATTACCGCTATGGGGCCAGGAGAGGCACTCGTACACGCGGGGATTTTCGTCGCTGTCTACACGCAGCCATAAGATTGACTAGTACGTACCTTCAAGACTGCCGTGGCGTCAAAAACAGATGTCCCCTCTAACGTTTACGCAAACCCAGCCTGTGTCACACAGGAATGTTCTTATTTGTACCTTGGGTAGGAGAGATATGAAGTATCGGCCGGAAAGGACACCTGAGTCTCGGTTAAAAAGAGCAAAGCCAGCTTTGTCGTCTACAGATGGTAGTGGACAGCGTTAGAGTGGAGTCCCCTGATGTTGCAAAAATTCACGGATAGCGTGGCAGGGGCCGCCTTGGTGTTGTTGCCTTGTTGCTCCACTCAGAAAAGTCAGCAAAGTACAAATGGCGGCTCGAGATTATTGCCGTTGTGACGGCCCATCATCATCATGACGGATTTCTATATAAGGGGGCGTCAAAAAATAGTCTCAAAGATATATATTAAACAATAAAATTACATTAATAAGCATAAAGTTAAAAATAAATACATTTCAGACATTCAAGTATGTATTATATCCAGTAAATTAAAGGCAAATTATTGTCTTTCAAAATAAATAAATTTATTTAAAAAATATACAAACTGTGATAAATAATAGAAATACAAGTCGAAAATATTATAAAAATAAAGATAAATAACATTTATAAAATAATTGGAATTGGTTAAAAATTGTCTAAGTCTAGTCTAAGGGAGGTCATGTATCCCCCCCCCCCCCCGAACGGGTTCCCGCCTTGCCGTGGCGGGGGGGCTTAGTAGTAACCAGACAAACGTTAACTAAGAAACAGAACCTCCTATAACGCCTACGTTGGGTTCGGGAACAACGTATGTGATCTCCGCAACGTAGTAATACACAAGGGCGATAACCTCTTCCTTTTCAGAAAATAGGTTCAGGCGGGGATTACGGGTCTTCCGAAGTCGTCCCGGTCCCAACGCCTTAATTCTTCGATATGGACTGTATCACTTTAAGGGGAGAATTCCTTGGGTAAAACAGCAATTATCTTCAAACCGTTCCGTGAGAGAGTAATTACTTTACACCCCCGAACGGGTTCCCGCCTTGTCGTGGCGGGGGGCTTAGTAGCCGTGGCTTGGTCTCCCACGGTGAACAAAGAGGAACCCACGTGGCTGGCCCGAGGTGAAGGGCCGGCCTGAGGTGGCCACTCCGAGTGGGCTTGGGGAGCCCACTTCGGATGTGTGCTGGTGGACTGCAGCGAGTGGGGACTCCGTACCCTCTACCGCTGCAGCCGAGGTGGAGTCGCGGAGGAAGAGGAGTGTTGGTATGGCGATGCGCCACTCGCCCTATCCTCCGCGACTCAAACGGGGCCGCACCGTTGATGCGGTGGTGATGGGGCTGCGGGGGAAGAGGATTGTCGGTATTGCGAGGCGCCGCTCTCCCTATCCTCCGCAGCCGAATCTTGGTTGGCGGCGGAGCCATAGACCAGATCCGCCGCTGGGGTCGGGAAGGCTAGTACTTCTAAGTGCTCGTTTTTCCTGGCCCCATGGCCTTCGCGCATCGGACGCGGGGGCGTCTGTTGCGCAGATGCAATTAGAGGCCGTGGAGGAAGGCGTGCCATGTGTTCTGGTGCGCCTTACTTGGGAAGGAGAACGGGGAGGAATATTCCTCTCCCGAGGAGGTGCTGCCATGGGGCGGCAGTCGCTGGTAGGGCCGCGGAAGTGTGCGAAAGCGTTCCCGTAGCCCTGCCAATATGCGACGAAGGTGGAACACCATGGGGTTTTAGTCGGTGCGAGTCCGACATAACCCGTCCTTGCCCCCCGCGAGGCGGGTGTGCGTAGGCATTTCCCCATCCTAAAAAAAAGAAAAAAAATAAATAAAAAAGGGAGGTCATGTATAAAAGAAAATTTATGGAGGGTGGTCGTGTATAGATAAATAATAATAACAATAATAATAGTCTTTATTTGCATAAAACATGGTAATTATACAGATGTTTCAGAGTCTTATTATGCCCACATGTTTTGCTATTTTAATATAATATAGCTTGCAAATTACATTTAAATCAAGATAACCTATATAGTATTAAAATTAAATAAAACATGTTTATTTAAATTATAATTATGTTTTACAATGTCAAAATCTAGTTTAAAATGTCAGAAATTCATTAGTGTCATAAATATTTTTGTCAATTAACCAATGGTACAATCTTTTTTTAAATACGTTCATATTATGTAGTGTTTTAATTTCATCAGGTATTTTGTTGTATATACGTACACACATTGATAAACAGCATTTACTATATTTAGCTGACTTCGGAACTTCGCTTAGAATAATCTATTTGGATTTCTTTTAAGTCTAGGATTAATATCAGATGACTTTTTAAATAAACATGTATGCTGTTTTACAAATTTACCTATCTCAAAAATATATAACGAGGGCATAGTTAGTAAAGACAGATTTTTGAATATTGGCTTACAGGATTCTCTAGTTGGTATACCACAAATCGTCCTTATACACTTCTTTTGTGCGATAAATGCCCTACGTCAATCTATGCTATTGCCCCACATTATTATACCATATCGAAGTATAGATTCAATATACGCCCGATAGCATAATAGGGCCGTTTTTTTATTAGTTACCTTTTTTACGGTACGTAGTGCATACACAAAACGATTAATTCTTTGACATAGGTCATCTATATGTATTTTCCAGTCTAAATTTCGATCTATAATTACACCAAGAAATTTAATTTGTTCTATTTCCTTAATTTTATTGATATTTAGACAAGAATTAGTTTTTATTTTATTAAAATGTATGTAATTTGATTTATCTAGGTTTATTTTCATATTGTTTCTATGC